CCATTTTATTTCAATGTATGGTATTTCTTTAGTAATTAAACACTTTCATGCTTTTATATTATTTTAGATCAAGTATGTTGGTTGGGAGCCATGTCTTTGATACTAGTGTGATAGGGATTGTTGGATTCATTTATAATGCAAGTTGAGGACAAGGTTTCATTTCTATACCAATATAGTAGAAGATAGAGTCGACTGTAGGGGAATAAGAGTTGACTTTGGTGTCATTTTTGACATTCCAGTAGGCATGTTTGGAAGGATTGAAGGGAGAGTTGATTCTCTACAAAGGACAATCAACTGTAAACTGTTCACATACTTGTTTATTGAAGGGAAAGTTGACTATCCTTAAAGGAGAGTCAATTTTGGTGACATTTTTGACACTCCAGTAGGTTAGAGATTTAGGAGGCATTCAACTATCCTTAGAGGAGAGTTGACTGTCCATTATTCATTCTATACATTTTTTCCCCTTTGAAGGTACGACTTGGGGCAGTTTGGGGGGTCGTCCCTTGACTAGTATGAGTTTATATGAGACTCCATTGATGACTTAGAGGTGTTAGGTACCTTAATTAACAATGTTTCATTCTTAGCTTCTGCAACTGTACTCGCGCTCAAGTCTTGCTGACTTCGCTTGGGTTCTTTTGTTGTCTTACAGGTGATATTTGTCTCTAGTGATGGTTCTATTCATATTCGCTTCCGCATTCGGGTTTGGTTTTTGAGTTAGGTTTGGACCTTTTTGGTTAATGCACTGGATCATGAGATTTGGGACATTACAGAGTTTAAGCTCTAAAAATAGTATAAATTGGATTTGTGTTTTGCTTCACCTAATGAAAAATAAATAATTAAATAGATAAAAAATGATGGGTGTTTACACCATAACTATCGGCCATTTTCAATGAAAAAGATTGTCGTGGCTGATTCCTATGAAAGGGTGACTGTTTCCAATGGAAGAGTGATATGTAGATAAGGATGTAATCATGAAGTGACATGTGTCTTCATTATAGGAGGACATTTGGTAAAAGTGATTGCTGAAAGGGACAAGTGGCAACCAAAGAAACATGTAGAGTTACCTGTAGCTGGAAAGAACCTACTGAAAGGGACATGTGGCAGCTAAGGAAGGAAACAGTTACTTGCAATTAGAAGGTCATGGTCCATTCCACTTTGCAATTCCAAAACGTTACTAGAAGCCTTCAATTGGCATTGGACCACCAAACTTGCTCCTCCAAAGCTGCAATTCATAGGAGAACATGTCTTTATACGTGTTAACATTATGAGAAGACTAATATATGGAGATATGGGACACTTGACACAAATTGAACATTCCACTTGTTAGTGGAAAAGTAAAAAAAAAATAATAATAATAACGTGCTTCGAGGAATAATCACAAGCAATCACGAAGAATAAAAAACAATCACACACAAGAACACAAGATATACATGGTTCACCCAAATCTTAGGGTTACGTCTATGGAGCGCACCAAATAATTTCACTATGAAAAAAATAAAGAATAAAATGGAGAAATTTCTCTCAATCTCTCTTAATTTTTATCTCTTGTGTTGGCACAAATTAAATCAATCATACACACGTATGATAATCTCCAATACCCTAAAATCTGATTAAAGTCAATTTATGTTGTCCCAAACAACAGAACCCCAATTTGTCCCATAAGAACTTGTCTTTTGTAGAGTCCAAAATCAATAAGGAAATCAATTCAAGTAACTTCACAGGAGAGTTGAACTGGTTCAACACCACTGAACCAATTTTACTTTGTTGTGTATATACGTGGTATAATTTAGTGCCCAACTTGAATTGGTTCAGTGTTTTTGAATCGGTTGAAGTTTTGTAGTAACCAAAAGTAGACGCCACACTTGAACTAGTTCAACTTTGGAAATAGCTAAAGTCCAAATTTGCTACTCTGAGTGAATCGATTCAATGGGATTGAACCGGTTGAAACGTGCCAATAGTCAATGTAGACACCCAATCAATACGTGATCAAGATTCCACAAAATCACTTGGAAGCATCTCTATTGTTGTTGGAACTGTCTGCAGGAATCACCATTAAAGAAACTCTATAAATAGAACACTTCTTTGTAACTTAGAAACCCTGCATATTAATCACTTTGAATTTGTGAGTTACGCAGTGCAGAAGCTGTAGGTTGATTTAATTATGATTAACTCCTTTAATGACCTAGATCAGATTAATAGGTCACTTGCCCAATTTTTGTGATTGAATAAATTACCTAAGCAATATGATCAACTAAACATCAATAATCACAAAGATAAATACTGAAAAGTAAAGCAAGTAGAGTTAAAGAGATGGCATCGAGATTGTAGCGAGAAAACCCCAATTGGTAGAATAGGCCAATTGTAGTGGGAAAAACCTAGTGGACTGTGCAGTCCAAAGTAACCCGATGCACTATGTTTGAAACAAAGTACAATAGACTTTGACTCAGGCTCACACCATATCGTTCTACCAAACACCAATCGCTGACAATCTTCTGGCTTTATGACATTCCGTCTAATAACTCTTGACTTCAGGCTTACTCTTGATCTTTGTAGAAGGATTGCTGGTAGATCAAACAACACTCCTCGAATGCTTTGACCTTTTCAAAGTGTGATCGCTTCACCCCTTTTCTTCAAGATCTGAACTTTGATGTAAAAGAATTAAATCTGCTTTTTCAGAATCTCCGAATCTTCAATTTAGTTTCAATTCCGACGGGATAAAGAACAACACTACTAAATCACTCATGAATATATGTGTGTGCTCTCAAAAATAAATTCAGAAAAATCAGATTTGATTTTTTGAAGAATATCTCTCTAAAGGCTTTCTCAAAATAATGAATTGATGTTCTATAAAGCCCTAACTCAATAATGAATGAAAGAGGCATTATATAGAAGTTTGGAAGACCTAAGAATACTTATAAAACAAGTGAAATTCATGCATAGGCTTTTAGAAGGAAGTCTGGACCAAAAAGGAATCAAAACGGAATAGGAAACCAAAGTTAATTACTTAAGCTGATCTGAACCTTGAACTGGTACTAAGGTTGGCTACCGGTTCTGGAATGACAGTGTTAATTCTGACATAGTTTGGCTACAAGTTCAGAAATGACAGTGACGAATTCTTTTCTAAACAACAGTTGGCTACCGGTTCCCAAAGTGACTACCGGTTCCCAATGCGCAGAAGTGAAACCTGCTATTCTCTTCAACCTTCTAAATCTTCCTAAGTGTTCTCACACACTCATATACCTTTCTAGAGCATTGTTCTCATCATCCCGGAGTGTATCAAAACATGAACACTTGAACTTCTTCAAATCCGCATCCGATCTTTAATCTTGAATATTTTGAACCGAAAAATTACAACTCGATCGAGCTTATTTTGACAACTTAATTAGCCAATTACAAAATATATATCTCAGAGAATCATCTTTCAATTTCAGCACTTTACATTCCTGTAATGTATTTTCAATATGTTTAATTCAAGCTTTGCCTTTTAATTCCTTTACCTCTAGCAGAAGAATTCCAATCTTTTTACTTTCAAGTTATGCAATTCAGTTTCTTTTCCAGTTCTAAAATTCTTCTCAAGTTCTCTTTTCAAAAGTTAAAAAAGAACCTTAAAAGTGGTCATCTCAGTCTTTCTTCAATTGCCTAATCCTGCAAATTTCCTCTGTAAACATTGATGGGAAACTCTCAATTGGAAATTTTGTAGTTCCTGACATGCCGGTCGGTTCCATTTGGAACTAAGCAATTTTATCGGGCCAAGCCAAAAGATTATTTTCTTCCCTTCTCTCTTAAAGTTATGATACTCACACCGAACACTTGAATTGTCTAACTGAATAAATTTTAATTGTCTATTTATATCAAATACAACTAAGTGGAGGGCTCCACTGCCCTTCACTTTCTTATTTGTTGCATAATTGATCAATTAAAAGAATATATCTAGTAATTCATTGCAATAATTGAGTGTGAGAGTTGTTTTCCTCTCCCGTATCGAAGGAGAGAATCTCCCGATCCTTTTCCTTTTCCTTTTCCTTTGATACAATGATTTTCTGACGTGATGAAAGGAATATATAAGTCACATCACACGTGCACTATTTTTTATTTATTCATTTATTTTTTATTTTTGGCAACAACCACACAAAAGCAGCATCATCTGCCAAAAGCTGAGATATGAAAGGAAGGACCGAATGGAGCACCAAATCCTCCTCTATGTCAACACTTGAGAGACCAACTAGAGCATGGGCCACCTGAGCATGGGCCACCTTATTACCTCCCCTTCGAACATGCGCAAAAGAAAATGAAGAGTAAGTGTGCAACGCCTTTCGGCGCTCAGACACCAAAGGTAAGTACGCACCATCACCATATCGCACTCCCGCAATAGCTTCCTCCACCACCTTAGCATCCGTCTCAAGCAGACATCACGAAAGTTAAAAGATTTGGCCTAATACATAGCACGAGAAAAAGCAAAAGCCTCAACTTCGCTTACGGATAAGGAAGAGACCGGTTTAAATATCACTGCTTTAAGAATAGATCCGTCAGATCTCCGAAAAACCGTCCCTCCACCGGCTAACAACGAGGCATTTTTAAAGCTACCATCCACATTACATTTAATCAGACCAGGCGGCGGGCGTGTCCAACGGTTAGAGGCAACAAAACAACTCAAAGAAGAATCAAATGCTTGGCATTTTTTCTGCACGCGTAGAAATTCCCACATCTGATTTTTAGCTAGATTAGCCACCACCAAAGGATCCCAAACTTCATTTTCAAACACCATTTTATTTTTAGTATTCCAAACATCCACACACAAAAAGCAGCCAACCCTCCCGCTACTTTGTTTTTTTCCATGAAAATCAAAGAAACTCTCAAAATACTCTCCCACCAACCAATAAAAGACAAAGGAGAATGCTGAGAAAAATCCCAGCAAAGAGGCGTGAGTTTCCATACATGGACGGAGTGAGTACACCAGAAAAAAATATGAAGAATATCCTCAACCTCCAACCCACACCTCGAGCACACCGAATCCTGCAAAAAAATGTGAAGAATATCCTCAACGCGCACCACTCACACTTCACTCCCAACTGTCCTACCGATACGGAAAGGCATGTGGTGCCATTAAGAACATTCATAACTTCTAGTATAATATATTTGTCCCCTAACAACTTTCCAACTTACTCAAAACGAAACGGTCCATGTTTACATATCTGCCAAATGCATTCAATTCAAACTACAATAACAAGAAGCCAAGAATGATTAAACATGTAAGTACGCACATAAAAACACATACGTACTGCGTGTCACACAATGAGAGATCTGTGTCTCGCTCTTTGCTCCCCCTCTCCCTAGACTCTTCTCTTTGTCCGTCCGTCTTACACACCTTGACGCTATCGACGGTTGATTGCTACTTTGTTTTTGTGTTGTCCCATTTAAATTCAACCCAACCCACTTCAATTTCTAATTCAAGGTCACTCAGTCACTCTTTATTGTTGTCTAATCTATGCATCCTCGAGAGGGTTCTGCCTCCATCTCTCGTGAACTTGAGGTAAGTTCCTGCCTTTTTCTCTATGCTGATCATCCATTCCTTTCAACTGTGCTATGTGTTGTGTGTGTGTGTTTTTTTGGGTACGTGTGTGTGTTTTTTTGGGTACTTGTGTGAGCTTTGTTCTTCTGTTTCTTGTTTTTTCTTTATTTTTTTTGTTAAATTTTTGTTGAACTGCATTGTTTTGATGTTAATGAGTTAAGTAAGCTTTCACTCACAAATAAAAATATATCTGTTCAATTTTGTCTGACATTTATTATTGTTTACTTTTTGTTAGTCATATGAATGCTCCATTTCACACCCTAATTTTATGCCAAATCTCATTTCTCTGATTTTTTGCAACTTTTTTTGAATCAAAACAGAAAATTTCTGATCAAAATAAACTCGGGGATGTTGAATTGAACAATAGGATTTCTGATCAAAACATGAATTTTTTTTTTTTTTTTTTTTTGACAATTCGAAACATGAAACTTTTTCTAGAGCTGATGTTCCATTTCCTCAAGTTGCTGAAATAATTTAAATATTTTTTTTCTTATTTGAATCACGGACCTGTATGTATGAAGAGAATTCCGGTAGTTGAGTTGCCAAATTTCTTGTCGAGCTGGAATTGTTGTTCAAGTAAATCTTAATATATCTAGTATCCTTGAATGACAATATAGTGATGTTAAGGGTCTGTTTCCTCTTGAGGTCCTCTTAATTTACCATTTACTTGCTTCAATTCGTCCTATGGGTTTATGAGTGACTGAGAAAATCCACTATGGTTTATCAAAATCTATGATAATAGATGTAGAATTAAAACAATGATTCGGAAGCTGTTTTCAGGAACAATTTTTGTGGTCATAATGCTTAATCAAGTAGCTTTGAAAATCGGTAAAAAAAAATAAAAAAAATTTAAGTCGCAACATTTTCTATTTCGTACAAAAAATTTCACATTCATTGCTGGAGATGGTATCCGGGTTAAAGATTGCAGCTACTTTGATTTTCTGGTTTCACCTGCTCATGGTGGAGAATGCATGATTTTGCACTTGAGTTGCATCTCAGACTAACAGCTGAAGTTCTTCCAAATTGGAGGGTTAGATCGACTGAATGGAGAGATACTATCCAACAGAGGTTTTTGAGAGTGGACGTTTGATTAAGGCCTTTATCTCTGTCTTCTGAAGAATATTTACCGTATTTGAATCAATTTCTGCAAATTCAATTGAGCGTTCTCTCGGGTACAGAATTAACACCCTGCTGTACTGGATTATTCATAGAATTGAATGAAAGAATTATTAGCACCAACTTTATTTTGAACCTTTATGAATGAGAATTGATTTGTTACAGAATGCTATCTGGAATAAATAAGCAGCTTTTTAATGTATCAGCAAATCTTTGGCTATTGAGATCGATAGCACCTCTTCTTGTCCCTTATAGTCCCAACTATAAAGCTGCCCTACACCAAAAACTGGTCCGACAAGTTTTTTACATGAATGGAATGGGAGTGTGATATGCTACATTTTTAAGTCCGGTACAATCTGGTTGCAGGTGTAGTGACAAAATTAAAATCTAATGAGGTAGCTCTAATTGTTGGAACAGTTTTCTCTGAACCTGAAGATGAGCAATGAATGTTAAATATTATTCAAAATTCATAAGTTGTTGATTTACTTTTTGGAAGTAGTCGTAATACTGGAATAATGTAAAAGCACTAAACTAACAATGCTAAAGATTTGTGGAACACTAGTGTTTCATTTCTTCAGAAAATTTGCACCAAAATGTGTATTGCCAGGAAATTAGGGTTTCTTAATAGTTCTAGTTCAAGGTATTCCAAATTAATTTTTACCTAGCAGTTCTTATTTTTAAGGGTGTTGAAGACAAATCAGTGCATACGTTTTTATTTTCACAATTATAGGATCCTTCTCCATTTGCCTGCAAATCTCTTCCCTCTCTCTCTTAAATTAGATAGAACCAGTAACAATAGTGGACCCAATTTGAGAAAAATTCACTTGAGTTTATGGGTGATTAACTTTGAATTAATTACAATAAATGCAATTTTTTTTCTGACGCACAATTCAGATTTGAATTCTCAAAAAAATTGTGTCCATTGAGGATAAATTTAACAGAAAACTATTGGACCATAGATAAATGAAGTTGTTTTTCATTGCAAAGTACGTTCTTTTTCTTTTGAACAGTCACATGTGGGAAATTACATGGACGGTGTTGGGCTCTCTTGGTTGATATTTCGTCGTTCTTGATTTTCTTCTTTCAATGATTGTAGATTTTATCTCTAATAAAGTTATTGTATTTGTGAATTTGGAGTCAAGGTCAGTTCAAATACTTTTACCGATGTTTTATTCAATATTTTGACTTGCTAATGTGCAGAAAGAGACATGGAGACATACAATCCTTTTGTCATTTCAAAGCCTTGGAATAGTTTATGGTCGCTTGAGTACTGCTCCCTTATATGTATTTGGAACCATTTCTGCTGCGGATATCAAATCACATGGGCAGCATGAACTCTTCTCCTTTGTCTTCTGGACTCTTACCATCATTCCTTTACTGAAGTATGCTTTAATAGTACTGAGGGCTGATGATAATGGAGAGGGTAATCTTATTTGATATACATTGAACTAAAATCATTGTCCGCAGGATGGTGTCTTGAAGCATTCTTAACGTAAACAAATCTCTGCAGGTGGTACTTTTGCATTATACTCACTACTGTGCAGGCATGCCAAAGTGGGTTTGCTTCCAAATGAAAGAAGTGCTAATGAGATTTTGCAGTATGAGGAGGAAAATCCTTCTAAAATCAAGGTGGAATCAGGGGCTAGAAGGGCCATTGAAAAGCATAAAAGCAGTCACTATTTGATGTTGTTCTTGGCCCTGTTTGGTTCTTGCATGATAATTGCCGATGGGGTTCTTACCCCTGCAATATCTGGTTTGTTGATCTGTATATCTTTGTTTTTTGGGAAATATTAACTCGATTCACTATTATTTCCATTTGGCTTTAATAATTGATTTAGTGTTCTTTCTATACTCCAGTGTTATCAGCTTCTTCTGGTCTTCAACGATCTTTGGTGGATATTTATGATCAATGTAAGAATTAGCGGTGCAAAAAAAAAAAAAAAATTTACTTTTGCATCATGTAATGCCATAGGTACAGATCATCATGATATAATTTACTTGGCTTCTGTGGTTCTTACCAGTTTCATCTTCACAAAGAAGAAAGGACTCTGCAGAAAGGATTATAAATAAATGTAAGTGCTTTAACATGAAATTTTATTTATGTATTTCTGGGACTTCTTCATGACTTTTAAATGTTGGAATATATATATCTTATTTCCCTTTATTTTAGGGATTTGATTCAGATTAATTGCAGTAAATTAGGATAGATTGATTGCTTTAAATTAGGAACAGATTTGTAGGAATAATTTTTATTCTTTTCCTTGTATAGCTTTCCCTCTTTCCTATATATACTTGTACAAGATGTTAATGTTAATTTATGAGGCATAATATTTTACACACAGAATTTCTACATGGTATTAGAGCAATAGTGTGAGAAAGAGAGAAAAGTTTCACTGGTCTGAGTGATTACCGCTGACCTATTCTCTTTGTCCTCCTATTCTTGTTCTCTTGGTGTGCAATTGTCTTGGACAACACCTTAAAGCCTAGATTCTAAACACCATACACATCAAAACATGTCTCTCGTTACCTTTAAATCTTCTGATTCTAGTACAGCACCGCCCATTCCTTCGATTGTGACAAATCAACTTGATAACATGAGTGTGCAGATGACTTCTTACAAATTTGATGGGATGAATTATTCTGTCTGGTCCAGTTTGTGAAGTTGTACATCACAGGAAAGGGAAAGTTGGGGTACTTGATATGATACCCCCTAATTTCGGAACACGGGTTGATCAAGTCCGCGCACAAAATCAAGGAAATATCAAAACAATTAAAGTATTTCAAATAAACACAGAGTACAAAATGAAATAAAAGAATAAATAATACGCTAAATAAAAACTAATAAATAAAAATTTTCATTAATAACTTGCCAATGGTTACAACTCGAGAATCCCATAACTCAAGGACCCTTAACCAAAATCCACTATCCATAAATCCATTAATAATTACGAAGTAATAATATCTTACTTTGAAATAAAATAGAAAGAATAGATAAGGCCTCCAGCTGCGGATCCTTAATCTTGAGACTTAAACTTCTAATAACCTGAAAAATAAATCGTGGGTTAAACCCTACGAGCAAACTCTCTCTACCAGGCCTCTAAAAACCAATAAGCAAATCATCTCTAATCAAAACCAAACCTAATAAAGTTTTAAGTTTAATAAAGATACACATATGTATAAATAATTATTTACAATATAACCTTCACATCCATTAATTGGTTCATTAATTTTCAAAACCATTAAACCATGATTAAAACATAATCCTACCTAAACCAATCCACAATCTCCTTCTCTTTCAAAGAGAAACTTTTAACTGTAACGACCCAAATCCTCATGGATCCGGATGATTAAACGGGTCTTAACCCGACCCAAAATCATCCAAGGGTAAAACGGTCATTTCACGTCAAAATTAAATAACAAGGTCTAAAAAGGGCAAATTGGTAATTTGCCATGAATTCATAAATTGAGACTCAATGATATCATAGTCCTTTACTTGTACCATATAATAAATAAAATAAGGTTCGGGGCAAGATAGCCGTTTGGGTGGTTAAAATATAATTATTTCATTTTGGTGGGTCATAAAATAATTATGTGCAACATCACTTGGGGCCAAAATGAAATTATAAGAACTTAAAATTTGTAATTACATATGTGACGTAAACTGGTCGATGTATATGCATCAAACGTCGACTGGTTTGGGTTAGGAACAGTGGTAATAACCACTGCCAAGATACCGGTTGACTGGTTTGGGATACCGGTCGACTGCTCCTGAACATAAGTTATAATGGATACCAGTCGATTGGTTTGGGATACCGGTCGACTGGTTTGGGACGCATGCCATAATGACCACTATGCCAAGATACCGGTCGACATTTGGGAAGCCACATGTCGACCGGTTCTGGAAAAATTGCACTCCCACTTCCCACTGTCCAGTGATAACTCACTTACACCAATACTTGATAATTAACCACCCCGCCATTACATTCACGTACAAAATAAGATATGCTTCAACATCAAATTGTAATAACAACCACCACGTTGGTAACGTAATTTACAACACGTTACTTAGAATACACAAAACTGATTTTGAGTGAGTAATACTTAATTACATTTTCTCAAGGATCATTCACAACTTAATTACATTCCCAAAACTATATTTACACATGAAATAGCTAAATACAAGATAGCAAAAATCATCTTCTAACAACTTTCAATTTTGAGGTAGATTGGCATCCGCCGGTTCTTTTCCAAGACCTGAAAAAATAATATATAGTAGGGTGAGCTATATGCTTAGTAGGTGACACTTAAGACACACATCTTGTGTCCTTGTGAATCCAATCAAAGCATAGGCCAATGGGAAATGGGGATCATGCAATGTAGGGTTAAAACAACTTCAATGTCAATTCCAAGTGTAAACTATGCAATGTAATGAAATGCAATGCATGATATGTCACTCCCCATTTTTCATTTCTGAAAACCATACTTTCCAACTGTTAATACAGCCCGCCCTTTGGTAACCCCGCCGCGACACGAAAGGAGGATTGGCTAATGTCCCTGACCCTTGGTAACCCCGCGGCGTCATTATGGGGCCCAGCTAGCTCAACCACGCTAGGGCGACTCCCTAGTCCCCTCTAGGCTATATTAACCTCCGGCTCATTGGTAACCCCACAGCGACCGGGTTTATCAAAACCATTTCACAAAAACTCTTCTCCCAAAATTCCCGTTTTCATTTCAAAAACTGATTTCTCCCATTTCATGCAACCTAATGGCATGTACATGTATATGTGTCTCAAGCTTACAATATTATAGCATGTAGAAGTTTTACATTTCATAATTACTTCACAACTAAACATATATCATATTCAACATCATCAATTGAGTCATCAACACATTAAACACAACAAAATTATCACCACAACATGCTTTTCACATAGAACAAATCATAATCAAAACCATGAATTTCTCTAGACATCAATTACACAACATTAAAACAGTTAACTCTCAAATTAAGCATGTTTATCACACAAAGGAGATATAACTCACAATGGAACAAGAAGGAAGTGGATTAAGGGCCCCTACCTCAAAAATGGACAAAACCCTTGAAATTGGTTCTCAAATTCGAACTCCAAGGAGGGCACCAAATCTGGAATTTCAAGTATGGATGCGTAGAGCTCGATGTGCTCGATGTTTTGCCTCAAACGGCTCCTTAATCCGCCAAGAATTAAGAGAATAATCAAAGCTCAAAGATTGCCTTTCAATTGGAAAGAAAAAGAAAAGGAAAATGAGAGAGGGAAAGAAGCTACGGGAGAGAGAATGTGTGGAGCAAAGAAGTATGGTCTCAAGACCATTTCAAGTGTGAGTGGTGGGCCCCACCAGAATTTCTTTTTTTTTTTCCCCTTTTTCTTTTACTTCAATTATTACACCACACACACAAGTGCACCACATGCAAATACTACTTAATCCACATAATTTAAAATGTACATAATGCAAATGGACCCAACCACAATCCCGAACACAACATGCAAAAAGACAGAAATACCCTTGTCTCCACGAATTATTGAAAAAAAATGAAAATGCTGAAAAATCAGAAACATCACAATCTCCCCAACTTAAAAGGATTTCGTCCCCGAAATCAAGCCGTACCTGGGGAAGAGAACAACTCTGGATACTTGGAGCGAACCTGCTGTTCAAGCTCCAAAGTAGTCTTCTCGACTCTGTGGTGCCTCCAAAGAACTTTCACTAACTGTATCGTTTTACCCCTTCACACCTTCTGCCGTGTGTCAAGAATCTGCGCTGGTCCCTCTTAATAGGAGATATCTTCATCAATGTCCACATTGACCCAATCCAAAATGTGAGATGGATCCGGTTCATACTTCCATAGCATCGACAAATGAAAAACATTATGAACCTTGTCCATCTGCAGTGGTAAAGCGAATCTGTAAGCAACCTTTCCTACACGGTCCAAGATCTCAAATGGTCCAATGAATCGTGGCGACAACTTGCCACTTTTCCTAAACCTCATCAAACCCTTCCGTGGAGAAACCCTCAGAAAAACATGGTCTCCCACCTCAAAAGCTAGCGGTCGTCTCCGTTTGTCTGCATAGTTCTTCTGTCGACTCTGAGCTGTGAGCAACCTCTGTCTGATCAATTTGATCTTCTCGGTGGTCTCGAGTACAATGTCGGGTCCTAAGGCAGCTGTTTCACCTACCTCAGTCCAACAAACTGGAGACCTACAAGGTCTGCCATATAACGCCTCAAATGGAGCCATCTCTATGCTCGCCTGATAACTGTTGTTGTAGGTAAACTCAATGAGCGATAGGTGATCTTCCCAACTGCCACCCAAGTCAAGCACACATGCCCGGAGCATATCCTCCAAGATCTGGATAGTAAGCTCCGACTGGCCGTCTGTCTGTGGATGGAATACCGTGATAAGATTTAACGTTGAACCAAACGTTGTTTGAAGTCCTTCCCAGAACTTCGAAGTGAACTTAGCATCCCTGTCCGAAACAATGGATACTGGAACTCCATGTAACCTTACAATCTCATTCACATAAAGAACACCAAGCTTCTCTGCATCATCTGTTGCCTTAATAGGCAAAAAGTGAGCCGTCTTGGTTAATCTGTTAATGATGACCCATACGGCCTCATTGCCCCTTCGTGACCTTGGAAAACCTGTCACAAAATCCATAGCAATATGCTCCCATTTCCATTGCGCTACAGGCAATGGTTGCAACAACCCTGCCGGTCTCTAATGCTCGGCCTTCACCTGTTGACAGGTAAGGCACTTAGCCACAAACTGCGCATCATCCTTCTTCATCCCGTTCCACCAATACTGACGTCTCAAATTGTGATACATTTTCGTACCACCTGGATGAACTACAAAGCGGGAAGTGTAAAACTCCTGAAGAACATCTTTACGACAAACCGTAGGGACAACCAACAAATCTTTAAACCGTAGACCCCCATCTGTATGTAAGGTCCAATCCTTCACTATCTCACCACTGGAGATCAAAGCGTTAATGGCTTCCAAATCTGGATCCTGTCTCTGTGACTCAATCACTCGTCCGACAAG